AACGCACTTTGAGAGATTAGTTTGTTCAGAATCGTTTACTGAATCGATTCCTATCATTTTTAATATAGGTAATTTTTTATCCCAAAAATAATTAGAACTACGTAAATTACAGTCACACTAAATCTGTACAGTCAAAAGTAACTGAAATGGACCGTAACTTAGGACTATAAGACTTTTAAGAGTGCTGTTTTATTTGTAGTATTACTAATTCTGTCATTCAATAAAAATAAAGAAAAATGAACTTTATTTCAAGCTTTAAAGTCTTTGCGTTCGTGGATTTGTACTGTGACCACAACATTCATCCGGAATTAATATAACTAATTTGATAAATAATAAGTGCATAAAAATGTTTAACTAAAATTCAGAGTATGTATTATGATTATAACATAATTATAATAAATTGATTTTTATTTAAATTGATTATGATTTAGGGATAACTTACTGCTAGTTACAAATTTATGAACAACATTTTTGAATTCTAACTTCGCTCCCACACTAGCCATTTAATATAATATATATGTAGTTTATTGATTGCATTTAGTTAAATAATTAAATATATATTTAATTTTTGTACGTATATATGTTTGTAGTATATGTATGTTCATTGTTGTATATATATATACATACATATAAAAATTACTAATTATAAATACAAAAGAAGTATGTATATACGTATATATATATATATATATATATATATATATATATATATATATATATATATATACGTATATACATACTTCTTTTGTATTTATAATTAGTAATTTTTATAGTGGTGTGCAATAAAGGATATTAAATAAAAAATAAACAACAAAATGAGTGTACTGAAGAAGGCTCATGAACACTAACAATTATGAATAAAATACAAAGATTTTTTTTTATTTATTTATTAGCAAGCCAATATGATATTGTACAAGAAAATAAATTACACAAGCAATTGATTTAATCTAATGTTTGGTATATATCATACCTAATCGTTAACATGTTAAAGTAAAATAATAAGCGCACATCGCGGGAATAGCTTCAAGCCACGGCCAAGAGCGTCTACGATACCATATTTGATTCTTTTTGGTATCTCGGATTGTGTTTTTGATGACCTCACAGATTCAAGGTATAGAATGGTATCCTGTCCTTCACTGCTCCTACATGGCTTCTAAAATCAATTCCATGCATCGCTGGGATCACAGGTTGTTTAGCATTTTTGTCTTAATTTGGGAAGCAGACTAATCTGCCCTTTCTCTATGGGCTTTCTTTCGCTACTTCCTATTCTTCCGTTTTGCCTTTTGAGGAAAGATAGTCCGTTAGGTCGCCTTTTCATTTTTTGGGTGCTTTGCATTTCCCTTCACCAATTGCCAGGCCGCTGAGACAAGGTCACCGGTGTGTTTGGATGCCGTCGGAGTTTTATCACTTAGTTTCTAGCCAGCTTCAACGCGGAATTAGTAGGGCCCACCTACAATGGATGAGGCTGTAGTTGAAATCGCAATTGAACTGGCGATTTCCCCTAGTTTCGATGCCCTGGCCTCTCATCCTCTATGATGAATGATCCTCTCAGTATGCTTTTGTAACGTTACTCACCAGTAGTATCCGACGGACACATTAAAGAAAACCAAGACGTTTCTGTTAAAATAAAGTTATGTAATTGCAATAGACTTTATTAGTATTATTTATGCCTTATTTATTTACGACACTGTTTCGGAGTTCTTGATATTTTTGAAGGACAAATATGTCAGCGCTTCTTTATATTCACAGCAGATTCAGATGATTGAGGATCTCCTTGATCTGATCCTATCACATCTTATATGGATGTTAACCCTGCGGGAGTCGCGCCTCTAAAAGTCACGTAAGTGGTCGCGCCGGATATACAGGGTTACAAGAAAAATCGTGCTAGATCCGTTAAGGGCGTGGAGTACCCATCATTTCTGACTTATTTCACTATGAAACACCCTACCCTAAACTTAACCCTTTTCGAGATATTCGACTTTTAATTTTTTTATTGAAAATTGCCGATTTTTAGGCTACTACATTTATTTTTGTTTATTTTGTGTATCTTATTATTATTATTATTGCATTTTTACATGTGTAATTAGATGCTTTAGGACGTCAATCATTAAAATAGTGCATAAGTTAATTGAATAGACCGTAGTAGACAAGTGAAAGTAAAGAAATAAAAAAATATATTAGAAAGTTTATTTTTCTCGAAGGGATTTCTAAAAAAATTATTATGGCAATTGTTCGGCAGATGTTTTTTTAAATATCTACGTTTCATCAGCTATCTAACGAGGTATAATAATCTAAGGTTTTATTCAAATGCATTGAAAAAACTTTAGTTTCATAGGCGACAGTGAAGAAGAAAATTTATACTTAGCCGAAAAAAGTAAAATAAAACAATAGTGAAATGTCATTTATTAAAGGTTTTCACAAAACTTTTTCTTATTCTACAGTTCATGTTCAACATGGCCGCCTCTATTTCTGATGCATTGTCGCATCCTTCTACGGAGACCAGTCTTCACTACTCCAGTGGTCAACATGGTCCTAATTTTATTTGCTGCATCCACAATCCTTTCTCTTAAGTCTTCCACAGACGAAACTGGATTCGGCTTGCTGTATACAAGACTTTTCATGCATCCCCACACATGAAAATCCATGGGGGTTAGGTCTGGACTTCTTGCTGGCCATGGCAACGGCCCACCTCGTCCTATCCATTTGTTTGGATAATTTGTGTCCAGCCAGTCCCTGACACTTCTCCTGAAATGGGCAGGGCAGCCATCGTGTTGAAACCACATGTCTCTGATCAGATTGAGTGGCAGATCATCCAGCAAATCACTCAAGTCTGCTCTCAGGAAATTTTCGTAGCTTTCCGCATTTAGATTATCCGGGAGAAAGTAAGGTCCAATCAAATGATTGGAGATAATGCCCATCCACACATTCACGCTGAATCTTCGTTGGGACCCCTTCACTCTTTTCTTATTGGGATTCCTTAGTACTTTTGGGGCCCAGTAATGGGCGTTGTGATAGTTAGTTATGCCATCTTTATCAAATTTGGACTCATCCGTCCACAAGATATTTCTTAGAAAATCTGGGTCTTTTACGTCAGCATTTAGCATAAACCTGCAAAAGTCCAATCTTCTCGCGGGGTCTCCTTCTTCAATAACGTGTACCGGCGTGTAATGGTACGGGTATAGGCCAGCAGTATGCACCGTAAACCACACTCTCCATTGCGAAAGTCCCAGATCACGGGCAACAATATTAGTGGAAGTAGTCGGATCCGCTCGAAAGCGTTGCACTATCTCATTGTCCTGTTCTTCGTCGTCAATTCGTGGTCTTCCCATGTCTGTATTTCGTCTCAAAACAGAGCCAGTTTCTCGAAGTCTTCGATAAACTCTGTCGAAAACCGCCACATCCGGCACTCGACGACCGGGGTAGCGAGTTATGTATTCGTTGCGAGCTTGCGCAGACACACAATCGCAGTATCCGTAACAAATAAGCATATCAGCATATTCCTCAGATGTGTAGGACGTCATCTTCAACACTTCCGTATCACAGGTACAAATCAGAGTCTGGTTAACAAGCACAGTAGTCACAAATCAGAAGAAATAGTCTAGAATCGCAGCCAAGTCGAGAAAAAGAGCAAAACGATATCGCATCTACTATGTACGAAGCACAAAAGCAGACTGACAACCAAACAATACCCCCTGTTGTATTCCCAGCCCTAACCGGTCTCTACACATTTTTTCTTTCATTCGCACTTACATAAATCGTCACTTGTCTCGCTCGTTTGGTGCGTCTTAACTTGAAGGACAATAGGCGCGGGACCGTTAGAACTGCTACCTGGATCGTCCCAACTACTTTTTTTCGACGAAATGTCGAAACAACCCCTAGATACAACCCTAGGTACAAACCCTAGATTGTTATACCTCATTAGATAGCTGATGAAACGTAGATATTTAAAAAAACATCTGCCAAACAATTGCCGTAATATTTTTTTTAGATATCCCTTCGGGAAAAAATAAACTTTCCAATATTTTTTTTATTTCTTTACTTTCACTTCTCTACTACGGTCTATTCAATTAACTTATGCACTATTTTAATGATTGACGTCCTAAAGCATCTAATTACACATGTAAAAATGTAATAATAATAATAATAAGATACACAAAAAAATAAACAAAAATAAATGTAGTAGCCTAAAAATCGGCAATTTTTAATAAAAAAATTAAAAGTCGAATATCTCGAAAAGGGTTAAGTTTAGGGTAGGGTGTTTCATAGTAAAATAAGTCAGAAATGATGGGTACTCCACGCCCTTAACGGATCTAGCACGATTTTTCTTGTAACCCTGTATATGTAGTCCATTTACAAATTGAAATAAAAAAATAAGTGTAATTTTTTTATTAATCAAATGAAAATATAATTACTACAGTTTTCTTGACAAAATGCAATTAAAAAAACCTAATCACAACCTCTGCATTACTAATAATTAACAAAAACAAAAAAATGTCTGAACTGGCAGACAAAAATCACATGAAACGCTCTTAATTTAGGGGAGACCGGATACAATAGTAACATTTTGTACTTTTACCTTGGTTTCTGGTTAGGTGTAATTATTTTAATGAAATTAATATAGCCATATATACATTCCGTTTATGTTCTTTACATTAGCATCTTATTTTACCTTATTATTGTGTATTTTATATGAATAACAGAGACTTCAAAAAATTTCGTAAGTTGTTACTTTCGACCACGTAGGCAGGTCGAAAGTAACACGTTGTGGGTCGAAAGTAACAGGACAAAGGCGTTTGTAATTAATGTAATGTGACATATTAAATCAGCTAATTATTTATTAGAAAACTTTGTATTAATAACACAGATAAACATTTGCATTTTAAATACTCCAAAATTATATATTTTAAGAAAACAAAACAAATTATTCTTACATTAAGTAATGAGATCAATTATTATATGATAATCATTTTTTTATAATCAAACTATTCAGTATAAGTCTTTTACTCCAACTCACAATTATGGCACTCATAATTTGCATCATCGTTGACGCATTCAGCATGTGACCACATTTTACATTTGGTACATTGTATCCATTGCTCATTTGGTCGACTGTTGCTAAAAGTTTCTAAACAAACGAGACAGAAGCAATCTTCGTCGTCAGATTTATTTTCCTTGCCTTTAACTGCCTTCTTTGTCTTTTTTCCTTTTCCCTTGCCTTTCGTAGATATCAACTTCCCCTTGCCATTTCTAGTATCCGGTTGTAAAACTGTTTTCTTGGCTTTATTTCTTCGTTGGTATTCTTCTTCAATTGCATTTTTTTCGGGCGTGTCCGTTAATATTGCTGTCTTACGTTTTTTACGTCCTTTATTTGCTACAGTTCTCGGACTCGCTTGTGGTAAAGGTCTAAGATCTTTCGGTGTGAAATCAAACGGCTGAGAAGAATTTGCTTGCTGTAATCCGCTAGGTCCTGGTACTGGCGAGTTGGGTCTTTGATTGTATGAGTTTTTTTGACAAATCATTGCTAACTGTACACTGGACAGTCTGGTCACTTGATGTTGGAAGATTATCAACTAGAGTCTCCGGATCAACTTGGATGAAGGATGTTACATCAAAACTGGTCAACAGATCATTTGGTGGAATTTCATCGTTAACTTGTAAAGGCCGGTCAGTGACAGATGATGGTGCATAGTCAACAGCAGTAAATATATTCCTATTAAATGGACTTATACCGGTACAGGTAAATCCGGCAATTGCATTTCGATCAGTGACAGAAAGAGGAAATGCTTCTCTAACAATTCCAGGAATGTAATGGATAGTCATTGTTCGACCAGAATGATTCCGCATCCAGTTGTCTGTAGCGGTGTTTATCATTTTTTTGAATGGTCCAAATACTGCCCTATCTAAAGGCTGAAGTTTGTGCGTGCAATGGGGTGGAAACGACAGCAGTACTATTCCATTATTTTTACAAAAATCTAGTGCTTGGATAGATATATGCGATGCATGGTTGTCGAGCAGTAACAAGCATTTTTGATCAACTTTTGGCTTGACTTGTTTTTTGAAGTGTTCTAGAAACAGTAAAAATTCTGCTTCCTGCATCCATCCACTAGCATTGCCAGCTCCGGCACAACCAACAGGACCTTCACGTATCATGTGGTCTTGGTATCGCTTCAACGGGAATACAAAAAAAGGAGATATGTGTCCTCCTTGAGCATTAATCGCAATAGCAACTGTTACTAATCTCCCACGTTCTGCTGAGGTTACTGCGCCTACTTGTTTAATTCCTTTTTGAGCTAAAATCTTACTAGGTTTTTGGACAGTGGTCACCCCTGTCTCATCCATATTCCAAATATCTTTTGGCTCAAATTTATACCTATCCATTACGTCAGCAAGATTATCAAAAAACTTACTCACATTATGTTCGTTGAAACTCGAGGCCCGCGACAGGCTTGTTGCTTGAGGACACCTCAAAGAGAGCCTCGGGTGTCGTTTTAAAAAACCCGTCAACCATTCCTTACCCGCCATTCGAGTATCGTGCCACTTTTCAGGAAATGTTTTTCCATTTTTTATTGCCAACTCATATGCCAGTTTACGTACTTCAGATGGAGATAACCCAAAATAAACTCCAGAGCACTCGATTAAATAGTCCTGTAGACATTTTTCCTCATCAATGGTAAAAACACGGTTGACGCAACGGTAGCCCACAACTGCGCTAGTATTTCCTGCTTTAATTTTTTTTTATATATCTATATAATGTTACATGACAAACATTATATTTTTTTGCCAGGGATCTAATTTTTGTACCATCTTTAGAATGCTCTTCAGCCGCTTTTTGGTACACTTCCGTGTCAGTAGTTCCTCGTGTGGTAGTTCTGATGCGTTGTCGCGGCATTCTGTTCAAATAAATACACACATAACATTATTAAGTAAATAAACCAATACGGGGACAAAAGTAACATGTTACTTTTGTACCCATAGGGCTATGTTACTTTTGTACCCGACCACGTTTTTGTTAAAACATCAAATATAACCTTAAAACGGAACGTGCTAGACAGAAGCGAATAAAAACACTGTGTAATCAATCTGATCAGGAATTAATATGCAAATATTCAGACTGGTATCATCCTTTTAAGACTACGAAAACCTTAAATAAGAAAACGTCAAAAAACTTACTTTTGATGTGTGAAATCATATAGCGTCTTCTCACACAACCTAACAGCGCGTGGCGCGTGCGGCGACTGAATGCAAGTGAGGGGGGTGCCACCGGCTATCGCCTTATGGAAGCGAAGCGGTGTTTGGGTATTGGATAAACCTACAGAGTATTTGTTACTTTCGACCCGCCGTTACTTTTGTACCCGGTCTCCCTACGAGAACTCGTAGATCACAAAATAAACTTTTAGTAGGAAATAACTTCTAATTCTATTTTCCGTACAGGACAAACACAGAATTTTTCTGATGCTTTAACTGCGAGCCTCTTCCACAGTCATGGCAACGGCGCAAAACGTTACTCGATGTCGCTGTTGAGGTAGTTGGTTGGGTTTCTGAGTATATAATGCCAAGAAATTTCTTTTATCTTGTTTGTTAGAGTTCTTGGTAACGATATTTTTTCAATTCTCTTATGAGCCAGAGGCTGTGGATGAAACGACGTCAGAGACAACTCAATCAAGAAGTCACGTCAGAAAATACTCTCATAGTGTTTGTTTGCTGAGTATTTGCACAATGCGTTAAGTGCACTCAAATTTAGCATGTCGATGAAAACCGTAAAAGGCCATCTTCTAGAGATTCTCGAAACGTCATACAGTGAACACATTTTATCCACAAGTTCAACTCCATTTTTGGTCCTATTTTAATAAGTTATAATTTCTGGCTTTCGTCTGTCTCTAGTCAGCATAAATTGTGGCATCGTTATGCATTGTCGACATCAAAATGACAACTTTATTGGATTTTGGCACGGACGATACTATGTGGATGGGTGGGTGGAATCCAAATTTAGAAGAACATAGTGGATTTCGTCTTGCGACTCAAAATTCCCGAAAGCCTTCTCGTTTATTTTTTCTTACCGTGCCGACCATGGTTGTGCCGTTTTCAAAAAGATGTTTTGCAACGCGAAGTGAAGAAAACCCTATCCACGGTGATAATTATGTTTTTGCCAAGCACAGGTTGTGCCATTCTCATAACAATGTGTCCTTCGTTGCTCAAGCGAAATGGATCTCCTGATTGTTGGCCAGCATTTATTTTCGAATTGAACGTATAATGAACATCAACAAGGGCAAAAATCTTCACTCCATATTTTGCCGGTGTGTTTGGAATGTATTGCCTGAAGGAACAGTGGCCTCGAAAAGTTACCAGCTGTTCATCCAATGTCCTTTCTGCACTTGGAACAAAATACTTTTGATAATTCACAAGCAGCAGTTCAAAAATATCTCTAATTGGAGAAGGAAGGAAGCTTATCAATGCTTGCACGAGATTGGCGGTCAATATCGTCAAAGCGTAATACCCTTGTCAGGAATTAGAATCTTTGTTCAGATGTAGTCAAATATATTGTGTCGATTCCTGTGTGTTTTACGTATTCAAATATTTGAGCAACCTCATTTATCTGTATAACTTGTCCTGCATATCTCTTCTTGATACAGTCAATTTTCTTATTAGTGTATTTAGTAATAAGACTGATTATCTGATCATCAAAAAAAGCGACATACAGACTTCAAAACTTGTTTTTTCTCGAGCTATTTAGCTATATTCCTTTAGGCCCAGGGAGCACAAAAACTATATTGTGTTTTCGCGTTCAATTCACAATGTATTGTCCACGTCGGAGTCTTCTTCAGAGCTTACGTCTGATACCTCGTCTAGAATTTCCTGCTCCTGCTCGGATTCCGATTGATGGTCGTGCTCTTCTAAATGATCAATTTCTTCGTCGGAGCTTGACTCATCTTCATAAGTTTCGTTTTCGCAAACAACTTCAGCCAGCCATGTCTCAATTTGTGCAGTTCGTCGATTATCCATTTGTATCCTAAAAACATAAAGTTACATTATGTAACAACAATCCGAAACTATTAACAAAATTTTAATTAGGTATTTAAGTAAATTTTCTGTAAAATTGATATTTTACAGAAAATTTACTTAAAATAAAAAAAAAAATTCATTAGACAAAAATATTTACGTAAAATTGGTCGCGAGGCCTAAAATTGTAGTTCACGCACTTCACTGAGCTCCTATGACACAACCGCGCGCAACTTGCTCTTGCGCTGCACTGAGCTTATCTCTCCAGGGTTGCTATTTCGAAATTTTAAATTGCCGTGTTTTGGGATCTGGATTGTCGTGTTTTGGAATAATAACTACAAAATTGTCGTGTACATCTTTATTTATTTTGAATTAACATGTTTAATCTTAAACATTACATTAAAACATTACTCTTCACAGTCGTCATACAAATTTCTTAACGTATCCAAAACTTCTTCGTCTTTGTTCAATTTATATTTATTATTTTCATTCATATTGTCTATTCTTTGTTTCGTGTACACAATTTCCTTGGGATCGGATAAAGTGCTTAGCTAGTAAAATTAAATAAAGTTAATAAACGTTATTAAATAAATAAATAAAATAAATAAAAGCAGTATATCTTTTTAAAGTACTTTTCAAAAAACGAAAGAATGAAATGAACCATAAACAATGAAGTATGCGCGAATGTATGTCGTATTCGCGTCGAGATTTCACTGCTCATAGAGTCATGAGTGATGTTCGTTATAATGACTTATCGACTACCGATAAAATTTTCGGAAAAATTTGTAACCATTGGATTGCCGTGTTTTAGAACACAGCAAATAATATGCTGCCGTGTATCGTATTTTATTGCCGAATAAACCCAATTGTACCACGGAAATTGCCGTGAAATGGCAACGCTGTATCTCTCGAACATTCATTTAGAAAGTACAAGGCGGCGCAGGACGCTAGCTCTAACCGATTTTGAGGAATTGTCGATTTTATAGGGGTGGGCTACATCTATAGCCCGTGCGACTAATCCAGGGTTAACATGTATAACGCCAGGGTGGAAAGTAATACGCTCTGGTTCAGGCCACGTCGAACAATACGGGCGACACTTACCTGTCCCATTCAGGCCATGTCAGAGCAAGCTATCCGACACTCGGACTTACATTTGGACGTTTAGTTCTCCGCATCGGACAACCGAACTAAGCGTTTTACCCTTCTATGAGACCTGCGTAGCAACATAGTCTAACGTAACCATCTAGTTGTTCGTTTTGCAAAAGTGTAGCTAATGACACATAGAACTTTGTAGTATTCACAACTCAAAAAGTACTGAAATTGTAACATAGGACCTTGTAATAATCAACGATATATATATATATATATATATATAGTCATAGTCAACGATATATAGCCAACGATATACTTAATTTCTTGATTGCATGTAGATACTAGCAGGATATTATAATATTCTTGAATTATTTGTGGTTTACCTTGAAATTATAAAACCGCTAAGTGAATTTAGAGAATGGTATGTTTTGAAAAAAAAGGGATGTACTTAAGTAGCTACCTACTACAAAGGTATTATAAATACTATGTACCTAATGGTATACATAACTCACCTTTTGTGATAACATCCAGATCCATGTAGATACGGGTTTCAACGTAAGGTTCTTGGTACTGACCGAGCTGCAGGCATTTTGAGTCTTGATCACGTACTTGATCACGATCACTCAAGTTCTTGGAATTGTTTACCGTGTTCAATATTAACTTTGATTATTATAGTTTTACATTTTGCCGTCTCGTCTTTTGTTCAATAGAATAATACAAATACAAGAAACTTTACAAGCTAAATAGACAACACAATACACTAAAATCACACGTTCATAGCACATACAATGAACGCGAAAACGAGGTCTGTCTGACACAGCTGTCAAGCCATATAACATGGCGCTTTTAAATGCAGGAGTACGTTAAAGGTTCTTATCCTGGATAAATAAACAGACTAAAAGTTGTTGTAAACATTGTGTCAGATTGACAGCTGTTTGTTGTCAATTTGTCATATTTGCTCGATTCGCGCTATACAATTGCAACTACGCAATATACTACGCAATATAAATACCACATTGACTCAAGATATACTCTAATTACTTTCTGCCTTACACCATTAATTTGTTGCATTGTTACTTTTATGGTGTCCGCGTGTAAAAAGGGAATTTTTTTGTGGAATCGATATTTTTTTATTTTGTTTATCGTTGACAAACTGTCAATTGAATTTGACAGTTTGTCAACTATCATATCATATCAGCTACAATGATAGAAACTTATGACTCCGTTCAGAGAACCCTCGCTAGTATAATTTGTACCAGGCGAAAATTTTACCAGCATAAAAAGTATAAAGAAAACAAAATTTACAAAATAAAAAAATGAAAACAATATTCTAACAGTAACATACAATATATAATATGACCTTTGCTAATTCAGTATAGTGGCAACTAAATACGTCGATTTTAAGATGCACACGGTTGACCACGTGAAGAGCTCGAGTTAGAGGCGTTTTTGCCAGGAGATTAGTTCGTGCTGAAGGTACCACGAGTAGTGGCGGACGCCTCCGTCTCGTCTCGTAGCGATCCGGTACACAGAGACTTAAGTCCCGCAAAACTCCCGCGATATGTTCTTTGCCCTGCAGTAATTTTACTACATAAGTAGCAAGAACAAACTCTCGACGTACTTCTAATTCATTATATCCTACCATACCCAGTACAAAAAGAGTAGAATACATCAGCGGATAAAATGGATATACCCCATAAAGTCTAAAGTACAAGATCCTCGCAAATTTGTTTTGAATATTCTCCAACATGACCTTATACTTTTCTTTATACGGACCCCATTCATATGGGGTCCTGTATAACGCACTTGTCAAATAGTCATTTGGAACATAATGCAGTCATCTGCATTATGTTCCAAATGACTATTTGACAAGTGCGTTATACAGGGCTCTCAATGCAGTCATGTTGGTAAAACCTCGTGTCTGTCTCAGTACAAAACTGATGTTCCGGTACGCCTTTTTACAAATATTAGTGATGTGAACGCGAAACGACAATTTAAGCGGTAAAGCAAACTCCAAGATCACGTCCTTGTTTTATTCTTTGTATCGGTGTTATGTGTGTATATTGTTGTCATATGTGTGTGGTGTATGTAGGTTCATGTAACCATCTTTTTTAAATGTCGCTTCATCCGTCCACAAAAAAAATTCTAAGAGTCGCGGGTCTTCGCGGGGTCTTTGTAGCATCGTTTGGCAAAACGCAACGCGACGTATATAATCTTGAGGTAGCAGGGTTTGTACTCTCTGTACATGGTACGGGTGTAGCTCATTTTTTTTGTAAAATTCGGTGAGCTGTACTTTGGGCACTCCTGTGCTTTCCTGAATTGCTCGTACCGAAGTACTTGGGTCTTCTTCAACTGCTTGTAGTACTATGTCCTCGTAAGGTAACGAACTTCTTTCTTCACCATGTACTTGGTTTGGAAGTCCGCCCTCAGTAAAGAGTAGATGGTGCACATTTGTAAAAACTCGATGATCTGGATAGCGATCAGTGTATTGGTATATCTCGCGATACAGTAGCGGCACTGGCATTGCCTCTGCATTCTCCATAAATGTTGTGCATATTTGCATATTCCTGTATGGTGTACGCAGACATGGTGGCACTACACACTGTAGTTAAGGAGAATGCCAAGGTTGTCGTTAAAAGATCGAAACTGTCTATATCCAAATCACAAGCAAACAAGTCCAATAAGCGAAACAAACAGTCGGTAAGTGCGAAATAACACGTACGAATACGCAAATATGCGTAGTAAACGAAGGAGCGTAACGTACTGATATACATTGCGTATGCCAACACTCAAAAAGTGGCGTCACTATCTGTCTTGCTCGCAACTCATAAAATGACTTTCTTGGTATTTGACACATTAGAGTCACTATCTGTCTCACTCACCCATTAGTATCTGAATCAAAAGCGTCACTATCTGTCTCACTCACACTTCATGGAATGATACTTCCTCTTGCTAAAACTGGAATCTTAGTTACGCTCGAGGCAAGCTTTGGTTACACTAAAATCATTTTTAGTAGAGAAAAAGAATAAACTGGGATTCTTGAAGAAAATCTTTTCCACTGTAATCTAAGAAATAATGTAGCTACACCATTTTAGAATCCTTATTAAATGCGTCAACTTTTAGGTTATTTGCTAAACTGGCGTAGTACATTTTTTTTCAGTATAGTCAGTTAAAGTTGGGCGAAGTATTAATTTTTCATTCTTTTTTCCGATAAAAAAATCGAAAAATGTAAAGATTTGTAGCTAAAGGAGCTAAAAAACCATCACAGGATGTACGTTTTCAAAAAAAAAAAAATTACTGTAATTTATAAAATACATGACTAAATTTTTTTTTATATTTTTCTGTTTGGAAACATTTTGAAGCATTTGCGCTTGTCGCAATTCTTCAGTGCCAACACCACTTTGGTGGAACCAAATCACGATTTTGCGGACTCTGTCCGTAAACAGTTTTATATCAGTTGTATTAACCGAATTTTGGACCAACAAGTTTAGTGCTAAGGGCCGGTTTTTTGATCCGTAGTTAAGGCGACCAATGGTTAAAAATAACGACCAATGGTTAAATTTTTGTAAAATCCGTTTTTTGACCCATAGTTAGCACAACCAGTGGTTAAATAAGTAACTATTGGTCACAAAATTTAACCACAGCTCCAACAAGGGATTAGCAAGATGGCGGCTAGTTAACTCTCGCATTATCAGCTGTTCTCACTTCTCAGTGTTGTTTGCTCGTGTGATTTTAGTGTGGATTTTAGTGAAAAGTGTTACAATACAGATTTTCTGTGTTATTAATTATGAATTTAAACATAACGAGATACTTCGACATTTCAGAAAGTTCATCTGATGATGAAATTGTTGCGGAATATGTTTTAATGAGAAGACCAAAGGTATTCAGACCACGTAATCCGCCCCTGGGGCATTGGGACGAAGTAGACTTTTGTCAGCGCTACCGTCTATCTAAAGAAAGTGTAATTTGGATCATCAGAAACATAGGAGACGAGTTAAAAAGACCAACTGAAAGAAATTATGCAGTTACGCCAATGGAGCAATTATTGCTTACTTTAAGATTTTATGCCACTGGGAATATGCAACAATGTTCCGGTGATCTGTCTGGTGTCTCAAAATCCACTGCCTGCAAAATAATTCATGCTGTATCAAGGCACATTTGCTTAAAATTAAAATATTTTATTGCAATGCCTCAGACGGCTGGAGATGTCGTTGAAAGTTTTTTCAATATAGCAAAATTCCCAAGTGTTGTTGGTGCAATAGATTGTACCCATATACGTATTGCAAGCCCAGGTGGAGATAATGCGGAATTGTATAGGAACAGAAAAGATGTGTTTTCTATAAATACTCAAGCCATCGTCGATTCAAAACAAAAAATTAGAAATTTAGTTGCTAGATGGCCGGGTTCAGTACACGACAGTACAATTTTTAATAGCAGTGCAGCCAAAGATTTAATGATATCTCAAAAGTTTGGCAGATGCTGTCTTTTAGGAGATAGAGGCTATGCCTTAAAAAAGTATTTGCTGACTCCTTTGGCCAACCCACAAACTGAGGCTGAGAGGCTGTACAATGAAAGCCATATACGAACAAGGAATGTGGTTGAAAGGACATTTGGTGTGTGGAAGAGGAGGTTTCCTTGTATAGGCACAAAATTGCGAGTGAAATTGGAGAATGTGCAAGCTATAATAGTGAGCACAGCAATTCTTCATAACATATGTGTAGACCGAAATGATGCTTTACTCGATGACTCTACCAGTAACCTAAACATTATTTTGGATGAAAACATTAATACAACATCACCTCCATCGACTCAAAGTGATCAGCAATATCGGCAAGAATTAATTGATACATACTTTGTTTCTTTGCTCAACTCAGAATAAATGTTATATACATGATACATGTAAAGGAATGTATGTTATAAAATACATATAGAAATAAAACATATTTTAAAAATAATATCGTTTTTTAATCACAATCATAACTTACCTAAACTTATATTACATTACATTACACTATACCATATACTACTTTGCTTATATTATTAATATTAAATAACTAATAGTGACTATTGTTCTGAAATACAGCTGCATTTCTTAATTTTTAAAATTTCTAATTTAACTTTTTCCAAAAGTAATTCTTGTATATTTTTCTTAAATACTACTTCGAGCTCATGCATTTCCTTTTGTTGTTCCATTTACAAAGCGTGCTTTTGTTCCATGAATTCTATTTCTCTTTTATATTTATCTGCTTTATGTGTAATATTTTGCTGGTGCTCTTCTTGTGCATATTTTTTTATTTGCTCTTCCCTGCTCTTTTTTTCGGTTAAAAACTCTTTTTTCTCTTCAAAATGAGTTACGATACGTTTTCTGGCTTCAAAAGGAGTATAACATTTCTTTCTTTTGTTGTGAGGACTCGCTGTAAACAAAGAAACTATGAAAAGAATGTTATTTAAAATCAAATTACATCAGTCCCATTTTTGCTAAACCCTTTTAGAGACAATGTTATACTTTTATTTTTATACTGTACCTATGCTTTATATTGCAATAAATTTTATGAAACTTTATAAATGGAATAAACTTTTAATATTTATTAATAATAGACACAATGGGCTACTTTTTATACAAACATAAAATAAGATAAGCAAAGAAATTTTTCACAAATTACAGATCAAATCAATTATGATTGATTTAATTTTGACCTTGTGATTTTATAAATTAATTCATCTCTGTTTATAATAATAATTATTATGAATGTTTCCATTCACACAGTGCAGGGGACACTAGGATTCCCTGTGTTTCACTGTGTGTGAGGGTGGTAGCCATGTACATATAACCTGGACCCGAGTACAAAACAATTATCTGCCTCGGTTGGGATTGAACTCGAGACCCTCAGTATGATGTGGTACAGCTGCTAGTATTTGATACTTACATAATTGCTTTGAAATTGGTTTCCTGAGCAAAGCCTTTGGTGTAGAGTTGTCAAACGTTATATCAACCTTTTTTGAGTCTGCATCTGAAAGGCATGGATAGAAATAATGTTAGGTATCCCCAAGCAAAACTTGTGATGAACACTAATAACAATAAATTGTAATAGTTAAAAAAGTTCATGCTAGTAATCCTGAAGGTCCTGATCAGGACATTCAAAGATTCTGATACATAAATCCATAGATAAGTACCAAGTTAATAAGTAATAAACAAACCTGTCTCAATATCATCCAATACTTCTGTGTTTAACAAATTGTTGCACTCATTTAAGGAAGTATTTGCAGTACCACCTAAAATAAAAATATAGTTAATATTCTGAAAATAATATGCAATATATTTATATTAAATACATTTAACCTCACCTGCATCGGACATTTCGTTTTCCATTAAATCTAGAGATATGGTGCATTCTGCTGTGTTTGACATTTCAAGCGTTGTGTCACCATCAACTGTAAAACAAAGGTATTATTTAATGAGTTAATTGTTGTTCATGATTGAAATGTATTGTTTTTATGTCATTTTAAAATAATCTGCTATATCCAAATCCACATTATTATCTAATAAACTATCAAAACTGAAAAGCCAGGACTGAAAATTGGTATGATGTTGAGTCTATATTTTTCCAGGAGCTTATGTCGTAGTATAGTTGCATCAATGCAATAGACAAACACTCAAAACAATTATAATGTTATTATCATAATATAATCTCAAAAACAATAAGAGAAGTAGGTACATCATACCTAAAGCATCACTGTCATATATAGCGGGTAAGCCAGAAATTGACTCGCCCATAATGGTGTTTAACCATTCTGTTGTCTCTGATGGTTTAGGGGGTGGTGGTCCACCTCCAGTTTGTTTCCTACCATTTTTCTCTGCACTCATTTCCTGTAAATAAAGCATAATAATTATAGTACCTAAGCATAATTAAATTCCATCTTTTAGCTTATTTTGAAGATAAAGGCAACTTACTTTTCTGGCTATTTTTTTCATATTGTTAAATTTTTGTTGTAGTTGCTTAACATTTCTGTAAACAACAGCGTCCGAATTAAACTTTTCTGCTAGAGATCGCCACGCTGCATCTTTTTGCTGGTTACTCGCGTGATCAGTTCTTTTGCTTGTAATTATCGAATAATCCTTGAGGAGGCATGTCAGTTTTACAGTCTCTTCTTTACTAAAATTGGTTGTACGATCTCTGAAACATAGGGTTAAAGAAAATTACTTAATACTTTTTGTTTACTACTCTCCTGATTATAGCATTACAATAAAACAAATGTTAAGACTTACTTGCTAGTTCCTGTTTTTTGCGATGCCATCATATTCGAATTTGCTATATATTCTGTACTTTTTCGTCACGATGTTAAAAATACCACGAGGCACAAATCACGATTTAATTAAGTACCGTTTTTTTGTGATAAAGAATCTTTATTACAAAATAATGACATTGACAACTTTGACACTAATAACAAGTACGATAAACGTCAAATGCGTCAGGCGTAGACAGTCTTGCCATGCAAAAATAATTACTCCCTACTGAAATTGGGGTCATTTAACACTCATTACAATGGCAACATATTTAACCAATGGTTAACATTACCAATAGTCAAAAAGAGATCAAAAAACAAACTCTTGCTTTAACTAGTGGTTAGCTTCTAACCTTTGGTCAGTTTAACAAATAGTCAACGTAACTTTGACTACGGATCAAAAAACCGGCCCTAAGTACGAGTACCGAACATGTGTTGCTCGACCAAAAGTAAATAAAATTTCGAATTTAATCAACTAGGTTGCTGCCATTGTTAGAAGTGATACTAACACTTTTTTAATGAGACAAACCCCAATTTTCATAAATTTTATTAACCGTTTGTGACAAATACTCTCCTGTATGGTGATCGTGGAGTGGTTCACATGCAATGTTGGTTGACTTCATTTCAAAGTTTTCTATAAAGATGGATAGATAGATAGATAAAAGCGTTTATTTGTTTCACAATCACACGTAAATTCAGCGATTAAACTAGATTCAAAGCAGAGTATTATGAAAAAAAAAGTATATACATAAATTTAAGATCTAAATGTACATATGTATTGCAGTTTAACAAATGGGTCCTAGCTCCGCGATTAACATTGCTCGGAGAGCAAATACTGATTTTTGGCTATTACCCTCGAGATGGCGAAAAGAAAATGAGCACAATTGTATAATCAAAAAGAAAGAAAAAACATTTATTTGCACGTTAATGTTATTGCAGTATAAATATGTGTGAATGATGTGTCCTTTCTAAAGTGGACTGTCACGCCTAAAAACTCCTGTACTGCAAATTATTTCATTCATCTATTGTGAGACATGTTTTCCACTTATTGTATTTTTTGTATGACAAGGGTTTTTTCCTTCATATTTATTAACTATGAGATCTGTAAAAGTTGAGTGTAAAATTTTGTTTTATTAGTGTAAGGTAGGGTGAAGAAAATAGCAAATACAGAAATGTTTTTATATACCCTCACAAAATTTAGATCTCAATAGATGACTATGATTTTTCTTTGTTTTATTTAGATTACGATCTTAATTAAAGAAAATAATAAAATTTAGTTCCTATTGTAAGGGTTGTGGCTGGAGCGAAGCGCAGCGTAGCGTAGAAATATTTCAACTGAAAGTATTTCTGGGTGTTTACGTATTTCTGGGCTGTTTTAAACAATTCAGAGAATAAAACATAGGTATATCACAATCATTTCTTGATTGTTTGTAAACATGATTTATTATTTTTATGAATTACTCAAAAGGATCTCTTTAGTTCTTTATAATTTCCCTTCTCCATAAATATTCATAATTATATCAAGTCGATAAAATTTTCTCCATTATTATTATAATTGTATTAGGCGAATTATCTTTTGACAATACCCCACTGAGACTCAATTCTTTGAGTGTGCGTGCCGTCTGCTGCCACAAAAAGGTTTTCGGGGTCATTAAAGGATTAACCTTTTTATGTGTTCATTTTCTAACCCATTGTAAGCCCGCCAAAATTGGTATGGAAGATGGTGCCTTCAGCAACATGCTTTTGTATCAAGTGCATTAAAACTTCAGCGGATCGCACATTTTGAGGGCAAATTTCTAGTCAATGAACCTGTCATTGCCGGAATTTAGCTTCAAGCAAAAAAATTCTCCGCGATGCCGATGCGATGATAAATATGTGTCTATATAAATAAGTACAATTAATACATTGATATATACTATATAGTGTATACAGTAAGGAAAGCGCATATATGCAATAAATGAAACCACAAGTAATACCAGCCCATAGAAATGTAGTAATATTAAACATTAATTTTAAAAACCGTATATTAAAAATTGAAATTTTCAAACAAAATAAATATCCGAATAAATTCAGTAAAAGTAAACACTCTGTTTAGAAAACGTACCTTGATCCCTTGGAAGAGTGGCAACAATGCACGCGGGCAGCGTCGCAGCCGACAGCGGCCTAAACTTTACACTAAACTGTTTATTTTTACCGCCACTTTTTTATTTCGCGATAACAAAACCAGACGAAATAAGTGTTATTGCACATTAGTTGACGCGAGTTGCGCCGTATCTCTCACGATAAGTACGCAGAGTTATTGCTGAATTTTGGCCGCATTCGCTATACAATCAAATCATGTCTGTATACTCTACCGAGCTGTAAAACTGCTGTTGTCTTGGCTTTTTCTTAAAAAACACACACGCGTACACACAAGAGTCAAGTAGTGTCAATATCACACTAAAAGTAATAAAAATAAACTTAAAAACTCATTAAACACACAAAGTCAAATAGCTAACAAGTGGCCATTTCATCGTAAGAAAATTGTTTAACTATTTGTTTTTATCTTAATTAAAATAAATGATTCGCGGTGAACTGAAAGCGAATCATTCAACTTCCAAAATGGGGAAAATAATAACGGGTGACGCCGCCAAAAGACACCGCTGTCAACAAACATATTCTCACATCGTGATAGTTTGCACTGCGTGGCAACGTCGCCTTTTAATGTTCAAGTAGGTACCGTAAAATGTGGCAACTTGACCACATTTTCTTTTAGTTTTTTGAAATATCTGAGTCGTCTAATATCAAAGGCGGCAATATCCATTTCGTTGAATTTTGTGTAAAGTGATAAAAACGTATTTTGTGAAATTTATTTATCCCTTAACTTAGATATTTTTTAAATGTGGAATGTACAATGAGAATGATTATTTTACTCTGTTTTATTAAACATATATTGCCTTTTTAAAGCAGAATTCACAAATAACCGTTGGAGATTGCCGACTTTGTTTGAAAGTTTCGAATATTGCCGTGTTTGTTTTAGACAGACATGGAGATAGCCATGTTTGTTACCGATGATCACCATAATGTATCTGGTCACCACAATCTTGATATTTGAAGTAAAAATTTGAAATAATTGCCGTAGTAATAATCAAACTCTTTTTTATTACTTATCAATCAGTCGCTGGTTTTTATAAAAATATAATATACGAATGGCACTTTACGTAAAACTTCAACAAAATAAACAATCATGCAATTAAAAAAAACAAGTATTATTATCCTTAGGTAAACTTCAGAAAATCAAGTACTCTTAAACTATAGACATCTTTCCTCGACTTGCAATTCACAAGTAACTTCTTGTGATGCATCTTCCTCTTCTAGGCTTGATGTTTGTGATAAAACACTTCTATAAAAATCAAATCCCTCCTCTTATTCCCATTCATTTCCAAAATGAGTGGTTAATAGTTTTTTTTAAGTCTACCAATTTTGCAGGTTTGATTCTCACAATTTTTGAGACACTCAGGGTTCAATCAGAGGCCTTTTTATTTTTACGAGTTATTTTCTTCAATACACCCAAATTATTAGTATAGTGCACTTCCCCTTGAATTACAACATTACCGATTTCTTTTGACCGCTGTATTAAAAATCTCTTGCAATGTTTAAATTGGAAGTGCCAAGAGCCGACATCCTTTATAACTGAACTCATTCCACTCTTAATGTTTAGGACTTCACAATCAGAACCCATACGAACTATTGTGCTATAAGTGCCTATAATCTCAAGGTAATCCTCCGGTCTTAATATACACTCCAACTTTCTCACATCCTTTTCCACATGAGCAAATACGCGGTCCGGTGGAATGAAAGAGTGTCCTACGATAGGAAAAACTATTTCAATTCTTTGCACGTGATCAGGTGCCGAACTACTTAACCACTTCGAACACATCGCTATCATTATCGAGTTTTTATTTTGCCCCGGACATCCATCTGCTATCAATCTGATCGTACTTATATCTGTCAAATCAGTCTGTGCTATTGCGTTAGCTCCTTTGGCATATAGGTCTTCGGTCCAACAGTAGGCGAATACATTTTGTGTTGTCAGAGGAGCCTTTGATGAACCTTCTACTATAGTACAGTTATATAGATAAAGCTGTTTGGAATAATAAGTTATCTGATCAGGTGTTTTTGGTAATGGTAGATTTTTTTCACAATCAAATGAGAATGTTTTTAAATTGGGTCTTTCTTCTCTCACTAAATTAAAAAATGCTTTAGCTTTAAGTTTGTGAACCCTATGTTCTACCATAAGTCGTTGCTTTTGTGCCTCATCTGATTCTCTTTTAATTTTTTCTAGAAGTAGAATACATGTCGAGCATACATCTGTTCTAGGACTGCCAAAACCGAGGTTATAGTTGTTATTGAAAATTTTTCTGAACGGACCTTTTTTGACTTTTAAATTTGCTTCAAGATTTAGCTGTTTGTTGTACATTTTCCACATTTTGTTAATTGAAAGTTCTGCAGGTAAATATCTCCGTTCAGAATGTCCCCTACAGTAATGTGCTTCGTCAACGTGAAACATATTTATAAAAAGCATTACAGCATTTTTTTTTCTCTGTGAATAAATGGGACTTGTGGTCACCGCCTCTTTTTTCTTTTACTGCTTGTCCACCCGATTCCACAAACTTTTTAGCAATATACTGTACTCGATGTTTAGTAATGTTTAAAATTCCGAGGAACGCTTTCTGACATATTGTTTTTTTTTTCTGTAAGACACTGTAAATGCTGTAATTTGTATGAATGGTTTTCGGATGATGTTTCTTATTTTTAGGTCTTTTTCTGTTGGGAATTACAGGGACGCAGTATTTTGGAAGAAAAGCATGAAAGTTTATCACGTCTCGCATAGTTATTGACTCGCATTTATAAACACCCTTCCGGAGGTGTTGACATCTGGGTCTATTTGGACTTTCCTTAGGGGAATATCTGTAACAAAAGCACATAAAATAAATAACTTGGCACAGCTTGGTACAACGTGGTAAAATTTGGCAATACGGCACTACTCACTACGCTCGTGATTCTATTTAGATTGTCTATGTCGTTAGCTCGGAATTTAAAATCAGCACTCGTACTAAAAAGTTATCTATTCGATCTGTAACAAATAACTATTGGAACAAAACTTGACAATAATAGATTTTAAAAGAAAATATCTGGCCACAAAACATTTGAACGCAATGAAATCCCATACAACTTTGCTTATTCGAATATCGTGTTAATGCAGACTTTGCTCAAAGAAAGTTTTAAAATTTTGACCAACTTACATGCACTTTTGAATAAAACTGATTTCAAAAAAAAATCTTGCTAATAAAATCAAGTATTAAATCTGTGCCATCTATGTGTACTTACCGCTGCCGTTTAGCTATGTTTTATTTCCAGTTTTCTGCATGAGCCGTACGTTTTCTGGTCTTCCCCGATGTACTCGGCGATGCTAGACACTCCATAATTACAATTTTAACCAAAGTTTTTTAAAAAAAATACAGTATTCATTAGAAAATAATAAAAACACTAACACTATTTCACGAGCGTTAACAACCTCAACGCTTATGAAATTCTGCGCTCTGATTGGTCCACATGGATGTTGCCATCTTTGATTTGAACGGTACAGGATAATGCCGGGTTTGTTACGAGCTCCAAACTTTGAGCTCCATTTTCTAAGGGATAATGCCGTAATTGATGCGTAATGTAGATTTCTTTACAAAACTACGTCCACAGACAATAAAAATACATTCATAGTTAAATTTTGACCTTGAGTGAATATTGCCGCCTTTGTTATTAGATGACTCATCTGTAACCCAGACAGACTTCTTTAACATTTTATGATTTGTTTATAGCAACAATGACTAGTATCTCCTATATTCCATGTACATTCATTTTTGTTTAAATTATTATTATTTTCATGTAAGTGTTGATATATATATATATATATATCTTTTTTAACCTCGAATTTAGATCTACTTTATTCATATGCTCATCGCCATCACTGGCATTTTTATATAATATTTGTGAGTCACTCATGTCACAGTCTTCCAGTTCTATATCTCCCTTACCCAACATTGCTATCCTTTCAAATATTTCTTTTTCAATAACATCCACAGTTCTTGCCACTTCTTCATTCGAGTCAATTGGTAGTTCTAGTGATTTATTATTAAATTGTTTGTTAAAGTAATCTTCTTCTTCAAGATCAACATCTATAATGTCACTGTCACTGTGTAAACTAATTTCTAGATCTTTTGTATTTTTAGTTGACCCGCTATCTATGTTTCTTGATATTTTAATAGGTTCCTTTTTCTCCTTCTTGCTAAGTACCTTTTTATTAGGTTTTCTTTTTTTATTCTGTTCACTAGAAGTATCTTCGTAGTTTTCTATATTTCTATCATCTGGATTTTCTACGTAACTTAAATTTCCACAGAGTTTGACAACGATTTTACTTTGCTGTCCAGTAAATTCATAAATTTTTACGTTAGACTCTAAGTTTATCTCAGTGTAAAACTGATCTGTTTCTTCAATTTTCATTTTCTTAGTTCCAGATTTTTTCCCTATTCTTAGCCTGGTTTTTAGTTGCTTCTCTTTTGTAAAGGTCTGATTTTGAAATAGACATACCTGATTCAACTTTCAATTTCTTGTTATTTCCTCTTTTCATTTCGTTCTATTTTCTACTATCCTTTAAATATTCGAGTAACACACTGTCTACTGAATACGCTGGTTCATTGTGTTCTGCCTTCTTATACTCATATTTTAATATTTTATTTTCATATTTTAATTTCTCAACACGCGCTGGTAAAGGCTTAGAGATTTTATAACACTAATATTGCATATTTGTTTGTTATGATTATTATTTTAATTATTAATTCATAAGTGATACCTATTAATTCGTTTGTTATAATTGGATGATTTTTTTGTAATATTTTTTGCATGTAAAATTAAACCTTGTGTGCGTGTTGGATTTTCTGTAAGCCACAAGAGTTTTGGAATTAAATAAATAAATAAATTGTCAGTATATTCTGGCACTTTTTTTAAAACTTTTTCTGGGTTAAATGAACAAACACCTGTGGCTTTAAATCCACTAACCACATTTTCTCTTATACCCATGTAGACATCATCCATTACCTTATTTAGAAGAGGCGGGAAGTGACATTTATTTAATGACGCTTGACGTGGGTTTTCAACTTTGTAATTTGTCAATATTTTGCGCCAAGTCTTTTTCAAGGATCCAAAGAATGCGACATCAAGGGGTTGGGTGAGTTGTGTAGAATTTGGCGCTAAAAGTACAAATTTTATTTCATACTTTTCACACAACTCTATTACATCAATATTGATGTGGCTATTTAGGTATATCGCCAATTATAACCTTGGTTCCATTTAATTTGCGTGCCCATGGTACAATTATGGTTGTGAACCAATTAAAAAATGTACTCGAATCGAACCACCCACTTTTGGTTCTATTATAACGAGATTCATCTGGACCTCCTTCAATCCACTGACTCCACAAGGCCTCGGACTTATAAACGACATATGGCGGCAATACCTTGCCATCTGCGGTTCCAACAAACATGACTGAAATACAGCCCTTTGTACTTATTGTTCATGATTCTCTCTGGGTATTTTACCCCGCGATGAAATATACATTTAACGGAACCTGGGTTGTCGCTAAAGTTGGTCTCATCGTAATTTAACAAATGAGTTGGAGGAACGTTTTTTACTACATGTTCAAGGTTCTTAAAGTAATTTTGAAATTCTGTTAAAGCTTTTTCTACTCGTGCACTTTTAATATTTTGCACAGATCTGATAGTTAACTTATCACGATGCCGATGTATGAATGCTCTGGCCCACCATTCTCCAGGTAATTTTCCGTCAAAAATAAAAGCCTTATTATTTTTCAATAGGTATTCATTCAGTATCCTAAGATCCATTAGGGTTAGAGGAACACCGTAGTCTGCGACTACAATAAGAACTTTAACAAAGTTCAATTCTTCCTGTTCGGTTAGTTTTGGGGAGATCCTGGTTTAGTCATATGTTTTTTTTTACTTTTCTTTCTATTGTTCTTCGAGGAATACCGTAAGTTTTTGCGGCATCATAGGATGACATTTTTTTTATTTTGGACCTTATCGACTGCTAGTGATAACATTTCGTCAGTGTAGTTTCTGTATTGTCTTGCCTCAAGTTTCCTAATATCTCGTTTTCTTGGTGGCATATTATCCTAAAATAAAAAGAGGTATATAGGTATGCATAGGTAATGATTCAAACTATCAGATTGCACAAATTTTGTTACGGTTTGTTTTAAACTTTCGCAGTTTGTCAATATATTTGTTTCGGACATTAATTTGTTTGCTAAGAATCGAAATAAAATTAACAAAATTCACTACGGCAACCAAAATCAAACTCAAAAGAAATGAAAAAATTGGCTTCTCCGTAACTTTGATCATTACTGGGTCGACGAAACGGTTCTAGTTTCTAAACGAGCATAATTGCATGTTGTACATAACGTATTCGTTATTCTAATATAAAAATAAAACTAAATAACATTTCTTATCTTAATTTAATAATAGAAAGCAGTAAGTGCCACATAGTGAGACTAGGTTTTCGGAAAACCGAAGATGAATTATGTATCTATCCGTCATGAATAAACTTTAATTTTGTGTCACGCAGCTGTCAAAGGCAACTTGACCTAACATTAGCAAACAATGCCGAAGTAAATATTTCGGCAGATTCGCCTAAAAACGGATAGATCATAACGTAAAATTAATCTTTAAGGTTTATTACACAACATGTCAAAATTGTATGTGTATTTATAGTTTAAGCTTTATAAACCCAATAATGTTCACACCGGCAAAAAATGTCTTCTGTCGATCACACTTCAAAACGTTCTAATGTATAAACTAATAGTGTAACCACTTTAAAATTACAATATGTTGCTAGTGACAATATAAATAACCTAGTACCGTTGATAAGAAATGTCAACTTGTATTTAATTCTATGAAATTTAATACTTTGTCACTTCACGGAACCTTAGGTCAAGTTGACCGGTAAAGGTCAAGTTGTGACCTAATTCTACAGAGAGTTCAAATTAGCTCAAACTTAAAACGCTACTTTTTGACCTAATTACTGGACCGATTTCGTAAATTTTTTGTATGTCGTCAGCAAAGACAATAACGAGTATGTGGTTTCATTTATTGCCTATATGTGGTACCCATTCTTTATACCGGGTGTTTGCGAAATGCTCCTGAAAACCAATACAGACGATAGTACTAACGATACCTTTGATGATGGGATAGAAAGAAAACCGTCTTCATGAACGAACGAACAGCACTAAACAATACATTTTAAATTTAGTTTTGAAATAATAGACGCCGTATTCTTACAGAATGCTTTTATTGTAAAAAAAAGCATTTCATTAACATTGAGATTCTTTACAATTATAATAAAATAGAGAAAATCAACAATTACTAAAAAAATGACAATTTTGGGTTTATTAGGGTGGAACACTTTTGTATGAAAAAAATTTTTTTTCTAGAATCTTTTTGGAATACCATGTAAACGTTGCTTTATGTAATTGTTAATAATATACCTTAATATACAAACTCATAACTCGACTGCTTGAACTCCCGCCATATCAAAAAAATATCAGAATAAAAATAAAGATTATTTTCATTAATAAAAAATTAAAAAAGTTAGTCAAAAAAATCCTTGTACTTTCAAGAAATATTTTATTTGATGAATCCCTCTCTTTTTTTATTTTTGCATACACTTAGAGCTGCTTCTGTCACAACTTTGACTGATCTTTCCACAACCTGGGTGTGGCAAGGCAGTCTCATAAACTCCAAAACTGCATCTCCTCCATTTTCAATGAGATCTTGCAACTGCTCATCAGAAATATTCTTTAGTATTGGCGGTTCGTATATATTTTGTTGCCAGTCAATCAAGTCTATGTAACAACGTGAATTAAGGTTCACTTTTGGCACCTCAAACATGCGCGGAACAGAATTTTTATTAGCTTGACGAGCTTTTAAATGCGTCTTGCAGCGAGTTCTCTAATATGCTTCCGTGAATCTGTTATCATACTTAACATGTTTTCGGGATGAGCAAAGTAACTGTTTCGAATTAAAACAGGGTCCACTATCGCTAACAACTCGCTGGACAAATACCTAGTGCTGTTAATGAGCTTCCATAAATGTTTTGAACCATCTTTGCAGGATGAATGTGTTTTGATAGCAAACCAGACAGGGGCATATGATTTTACGACAAACTTAGCTAAAATTACAAGATTTTCTTGTGGATTTTCAGTAGAAATATATAAACGCAGTATGCGATTAGCTCTTGTTAACCAGCGGGCATGTAGCTCACCTGGGCTTCGGTTTAATAAATCGGGAGGGCAGGATCCACTTATGACAGCAGTGATAATTTCTAATAAATATTTTTGGTCTGTACTGAGATCTATTGTTATTTGTGGAGGTACATCACCAGGAACGAAACTCTCTAATGCTTTACCAATTTGCCCTCAAATATAGGTCCTGAAACATCAAAATGCCTCAATGGCAACTCATGCTTTCTGTAAGAGACAAATTATCCATTGCAATGGTCGAGATAGTCTATTTTCCAAAAGACGAATCACGCCTCCCACTTTTCCTGTATTTGTGTTCCATCACAGCCAACTGCCATTATACTCTCGAGTGATATCTTTTCAATCGTCAAAATGCTGTGCCACTGCCCGATGCTGGAACAACATACCCAACGTAAACAGAACCTGGTTCTTTCATAATCGAAATATGTTCCTCTTGTAAAATCACTCTAAACCTCTTTGATCCTTTTAATACAGTTTTAGCCGTCTTGTGTAAATTCGCGGCAAAATTATACCCATAGTAGAAATTCTCCTGTATAAACTGAATGGCCTTTCTCTAGAAAATCTTGCAATAGGTGTAGCACCACCTTTACGGTGTGCTCTTTTTCACTTTTTATATCGGCGGAGCCTCCATACAGATGCAGTCTCAGAACGAAGCCATTGGGCTCTTTTAGCATGTAAAAGGTCATTCCATATTTATACTTCTTAGTTTTTATAATTTGTTTAAAAAATAAACGACCTCTGTAGAGAATCATGCTTACGTCGAGTGATAATTCAGAAGGAATTTTCTGAGCGTATATCTGATCATTCGTCTTGTCATTAAATCGTTTGATCAATACGTCGAATTTGATCAATTTCCGTACTGATTAGCTGGAAGAATGCAAGTATCTAAACAGCAACAAAAACCGGCTTCGCGATATATACTGTCTGAAGATTAGAATGTTGAATAATCCATGCTTTTTCTAGTAGTCCGTCATACAATTGAGACGAATAATACCCATATGCTAAATTATGCCAAAAATACTTTCATCTCGGCGACACTTGTGTCTTTCTAGTCCGTTATTCTTGATTTCAGCCCAACCTCCTGGCTTTATCAAAACATCAGCAGCGTGCTTATTAGTTTCTCGAACAATATATGTCAGAAATTCATCATTGAGAAAAAGACTTAAAAAATCTATAGCTTTCGACTCACTGGCTAACGTCGCTTTCAAACCAACATTTTCCGTGGAATCGAAAGCCTTCATACTTTCATTTGTGGTAGACCAAGGTACGGATGTTGTTTCTCGCGCCCTTTGCTCTTGAGACGCTCCAGGAACCCAAATCCTGATCCAGAGAAACAGTGTAAACAGGTCGAGAGACTGAGTGATATTCAGCACCATGCCACTACTAGTTGTAGTGAGGCAGGTCCATTCAGTATGTTTGTAGTTATAATCTCCAAACATAATGACTGAATTGCCTAATGCAAGGATGGCTTCGAAGTCGCTCTTAACGAAGAGGGTACCGCTAGGGATATAGCAGGAGGCTATGATGATAGACTGGTGTCCAGTTATGGCTATTCTGGTTGTAGTGGCATCTGTTGGTAAGCGTCTGAGTAGGGACCGCTGCCTTTGCGGTTGGGTCTGTCATTTCGAAGAAGCGAATAATTTTTGATAGAGAGGCCTTTGGAGACCTAAGAACTGAATTGGGTCTCCTGAAGGAGGAGAAGGTCGGCTTCGCGATCTCGTAGAAAGAGCCTAAGCTCAGGGACGTTATTTCGCAAACCGCGGAAAAAAGAAACAAGCGACAAACTCTTTGGTTTGATACGACCGTGTGATATTGCGGGAGCAGAAGGCTCCGGCATTGTGTTTTTACAACGACCTTAGTAGATCGATGTGCTCAGTGAGAGCAAGGAGATGGTCCTGAGGGGACTGAGCAGCGCGCAGT